GGCCATCAATCTGGGCTCCTAGAGTGTCTCCACCTCTGCTATCCTAGAGATGGACAGGCTCTCCACACTTGAAGCCACACGACCATACGCAAAGCATTGGTTATAGCTGAAAACACTATACAGAAAGTACCTGATGTCACTCAATGGGAACCAAAACCAGTGGAACCCAAGCCAATATAGCATGCCAAATCGACATCTTCTGGAGAAAGTCTCTTACTGTGTAAGCCACCTGTAACACTGGTAGCAATAGATCCACAAGATGTGAAAATACCAACATGCAGACACAGGAAATATGAAAAAGTAAGATAAAATGAAACCTCTCAAAGAGCATAATAACTGCATAGTAACAGACCCCCCAAAAAGGAAATTGATAGTGCCTTAAAACAGAGTCAAAAGAACGATTCTAAAGAACTCAATGAACAAATATTTTTTTCAAAATTATACTAGCAAATACAGTTAATGTATAATATAAAGAGACCTAAGTCATTGGAGTGAATATATTTAGAGTATTATTGTGAAGGATATAGAGTAATTACTTCTGACCATAAGGGACTTAATGTTCTTAAAATAAAAAAATGTGTGAGCCTTATATCTTTACGTGTTTCATTATGTTTATTATAGATACTAAAATTATATGATACTAAATTCTAAATGGTCAATCAAAAGCACTCATTTTCTTTTTTTTTTTTAAAAAGATTATTTATTTGAAAGTCAGAATTACACAGAGAGAGAAGGAGAGGCAGAGAGAGAGAGAGAGAGATCTTCCATCTGCTGGTTCACTCCTAAATTGGCTGCAATGGCCAGAACTACGCTGATCCAAAGCCAGGAACCAGGAATTTCTTCCAGGTCTCCCACGTGGGTGCAGGGGCCCAAGCACTGGGGCCATCTTCCACTGCTTTCCCAGGCCACAGCAGAGAGCTGGATCGGAAGTGGAGCAGCCGGGACTTGAACCGGTGCCCATATGGGATGCCGGCACTGCAGGCAGCAGCTTTACTCACTACTCCACAGCAGCAGCCCCAAAACAGTTAATTTTTAATACAATGATAGCATTTAATTACCTTTTACTGTTATGTCATCTAAAATTGTTATTGGCTTTTTCCTCATTTCACAAAAATAACATTTAATCAATACAAGCACTTCATTTATTGAGTATTTTTGGTAAGATAGCAATACTTGTTCAACTTCTAATTTGCTGGGTTTTTTTTACATTTGGCATTTCTTTTACATTTAAGTTGTACATTTGGCATGTGTTTTACATGTAAGACATACATTTATGCTTTGTCAAATCTATTAATTCTTTTTTGTGCTAAGAAAATTCTTATACTCCCCCAAGATTAAATATTCATTTCATCTATTAAAAAATAAAAAAGGAACTCAATGAAATACCAAAAAAGAGACAATTTAACAAAATTAGGGGGAAAATTAATATATATGAGTGAGAAATTCAGCAAAGAACAGAAATCTTGAAGTTGAAGAACCCAATAAGTCAAATAAAAAAAATGTAGTTGAGAACCTCAACAATAGACTAGATCAGGCAGAATAAAGAATTTGTTAACTTGAACACCGACCTTCCTGAAATAGCCTACACAGAAAATATAAAACATCCAAAGGATGAAGAAAACCTCTGACACTTATGGAACACCATTATAGAAACAAATATTCAATTTATGGGTATGAAAGACAGGGAGATGAGAGAGAGAGAGAGAAACAAGCAGGCAGAGAGATGTTCCATCTGCTGGTTCATTCCTCAAATGCTTGCAAGAATTGGAGCTGGGCCAGGCTGGAGCTAGGAACCAGAACTCCATCCAGGTCTCCCATTTTGGTGGCAGGGACTCAAGTACACAATGGAATGCAGGCATCTCAAGCAGCAGCTTAACCACTGAGCCGAACACATGAACACATGGACCTCCATAAACATTTTGAAGCACCTTAATAAACCAAATACATCGACTTTAAGTAAAAAAAAAAAAAAAGACCAGAAAAAAAAACTGTAAAAAGAGAAAAAGGTCACTATATAATGATTAAATGATTAATTCAACAAAAACATATAACAATTTTCTTTTTTTTTTATTTTTTGACAGGCAGAGTGGACAGTGAGAGAGAGAGAGACAGAGAGAAAGGTCTTCCTTTGCCGTTGGTTCACCCTCCAATGGCCGCCACAGCTGGCGCGCTGCGGGTGGCGCGCCGCGCTGATCTGATGGCAGGAGCCAGGTGCTTCTCCTGGTCTCCCATGGGGTGCAGGGCCCAAGCACTTGGGCCATCCTCCACTGCACTCCCGGGCCACAGCAGAGAGCTGGCCTGGAAGGGGGGCAACCGGGACAGAATCCGGCGCCCCAACTGGGACTAGAACCCGGTGTGCCGGCGCCGCAAGGCAGAGGATTAGCCTAGTGAGCTGCGGTGCCGGCCAAAAATTTTCAATGTAGATGCACCTAATGCCAGAGCATCTAATTTTATTTTATTTTTTGTTACTTTTCTAAATTTTTATGTTTTTATTTTCACTTCATTTTAAAGACAGGGAGATGAGAGACAGACAGAAAGAGCTCTTTCACCTGCTGGTTCACTCCCCAAATGCCCATAACAGTAAGGGCTGGGTCAGGCCAAAGCCAGGAGCCTAGAACTCCACCTGGGTCTCCCATGTGGGTGGCAGGGACACAAGTACATGAGTCATCACTCACTGCTTCCCAGGGTGTGCAGCAGCAGGAAGCTGGATCTGGAGTAGAAGAGCTGGGACTAGAACCAGGCACACGGAGATGGGTAAAAGCATCTCAAGGGGTATCTTAACTACTATGCCAAACACCTACCCACAGAGCACCCAGTTTTATACAACATAGATTATCAGATCTAAATGAAGGGCTAGGTTCCAATACAATAATAGTTGGGACTTGAGTGCACCGCGTTCATCAATGGACAGCTTGTTTTGATGAAGTCAGCAAGCAAACATTGGAGTTAAGCTATGTAACCGGACCAACTGCACTTAACAGATGTTCACAGAACACGTAGTCCAGCAGCCACAGTAAACACGCTCTTCTCATAAACACATGAATCATTCTCCCAGAGAGACCATATGTTAGGCCACAAAACAAGTCTCAACAAATTCACAGAAGTCACAATGATATCCTGTATCTTCTCTGACCGCAGTGGAATACAAACTAGAAAACAACAAGAGGAACTTTAGAAATTATACGAAACATGATGTAAACCAAACTGTATGCTGCAGAATGAGCAATGGACCACTGGAGAAATCACAAAGGAAAGTGAAAATATTGCTTAAAACAAGTGTAAATGGAAACACAACATACCACACTCTGACATACAGCAAAAGCAGTAGAAGGACACAAATTACAAAGATCAGAACAGAAATAAACTCCAGACCAAAAAATAATACAAAAGGTCAATGAAACAGAGTTGCTTTTGAAAAAAAAAATGACAGCTCTTTAGTGGCACAAAACAAGTAAGAAAGAGAGAATACCCAAATAAACAAAACCAGATATGAAAAAGAAGACTGATATCACATAAATACAAAGGATAATTAAGGGGGTTGGCGCTGTGGTGTAGTGGGTGAAGCCGCCGCCTGCGGTGCCAGCATCCCATGTGGGTGCTGGTTCAAGTCCCGGCTGCTCCACTTCCAATCCAGCTCTCTGCTATGCCTGGGAAAGCAGTGGACGATGGCCCAGGCCCTTGGGCCCTTGCACTTGTGTGGGAGACCCAGGGGAAGCTCCTGACTCCTGGCTTCCAAAGGCACAGCTCCGAACATTGCGGCCATTTTGGAGAGTGAGCCAGCAGATGGAAGACCTCTCTTTCTCTCTCTCTCTCTCTCTCTCTCTCTCTCTCTTTCTGCCTCTCTGTAACTCTTTCAAATAAATAAATAAATATTTAAAAATAATTAAGGACTATTATAAATAACTATATGCCAAAAAATTGGAAAGTGTAGACAAAAAATGGAAAACTGAACACATATAATCTAGCAAAAACTGGATCATGAAGACATAGGAAATCTGGATAGATCAGTAATGAATAATCAGATTAATTCAACATTAAAAAGTCTCTCAACAAAGAAAAACCCAGTTACTCCACTTCCGATTCAGTCCCTGCTAATGCACCTGAGAAGCAAGGGTGATGGCTCAAGTATTTGAGTCCCTAATACCCAAATGGGATACCTGGATGGAGTTCCTGGCTCCTGGTTTCAGCCTGGGCCAGCCTTAGCTGTTGTCAGCATTTGGGGAGTGAACCAGCAGATAGAAGATATATCCCCGTGCCCCTCCTGTGTGTGTGTGTGTGTGTGTGTGTGTGTGTGTGTGACTCTCTCTGCCACTTTGCCTTTAAATTAAATAAATAAATCTTTACAAAATTTGTAAAAATGGAATTAAAAGGTAAACACCACCAAAACTGGAAAGAGAGTAACCACTGTGGCACAGTGCGTTAAGCCACCACTTGGAACACCTGCATCTCATATCCCAGTGCCTGGTGTGAGTCCCAGATACTCTGTGCTTCTGATCCAGCTTCCTGTTAATGTGCCTGGGAAGCAGCCAGTGGTGGCTCAAGTACTTGAGTTCCTGCCATCCACACAGGAGACCCAGATAAAGTCTCTTGACTTTGGCCTGGCCCAGCTTCAGCTGTTGGAGGCATTTGAGGAGTGAATCAGTGATTGAACTCTCTCTCTCTCTCTCACTCTCTCTCTTTATTTAAGGATTTATTTATTTTTATTGAGAAACAGAGTTATAGGTAGAGAGAGGGAGAGACAGAGAGAGAGAGAGAGAGAGAGAGAGGTCCTCCATCAGCTGGCTCACTCCCCAAATGGCTGGGCCCATCCAAAGCCAGGAGTCAGGAGCTTCTTCCAGGTCTGCCATGCGGGTGCAGGGGCCCAAGGACTTGGGTCAGCCTCTGCTGCTTTCCCAGACCAGTAGCATGGAGCTGAATTAGATGTGTAGCAGTCAGAACATGAACCGCTGCCCATATGGGATGCTGGCACTGTAGCAGAGGCTTAACCTACTACATCACAGAAAAATATGGAATGCTTCACGAATTTGAGTGTCATCCTCCTGCAGAAGCCATGCTAATCTTCTCTGTGTCTTTTCTATTTTAGTGTATGCGCTGTTGAAACAAGGACTCTCTCTCTCTCTCTCTCTCTCTCTCTCTGTCACTCTGCATTTCAAATAAATAAATGTTTAAAAAATGGAAAGACTTCACATGTTCACAGATAGCTGTACTATCCAAAGTGATTTATAGATTCAATGCACTTCCCCACCAAAATATTAAAGACATTCTTCACATAACTATAAAAAGCAATCCTAAAATTGGTATGAAGGTAAAAAAGATCCCAAATAGCGAAGCAATCTTGAACAAAAAGAACACAGCTGGAGGCACCGTGATACCTGCTCTTAAGACATACCAGATAGCTATAGTAACTAAGACAGGGTGGTACTGGCATAAAAACTGACACATAAACCAGTGGGACAGCATTGCAATCCCAGAAATAAATCCCCACACTTACAGCCAACTAATTCTCAACAAACGTGCCAAAAACCTGCATTGGTGCTGGGAAAACTGGATATCCATATGCAGAAGAATGAAGCTACATCCTTATTTCTCACCACCTATAAAAAATCAACTCACAATGGATCAAAGATCCAAATGTAAGTTCTGAAACTACAAAACTGTTAGAAGAAAATATACGGGAAACACTTCAGGACATCGGTATAGGCACTACTTTTTTGGGGAATAAGACTCTAAAAGCAAAGTTAACAAAAGCAAAACTAAACAAATAGGAATATATCATACTAAGAGACAGCCCACAGAATGGATAAAAATAGGTTCAGACTCTTAATCTGACAAGGAACTAATAACCAGAATGGATAAACCCAACAATAACAAATATAATCAAATAATGGGTAGTGCCAGCATTGTGGTGCAATGGGTTAAGCTGCTGCTTGTGACACTGGCACCCCATATTGGAGTGCTGGTTCCAGTCCCTGCTGCTCTGCTTCCAATCCAGCTGCAGGTTAATGCATCTTGGAAAGTAGCAAATGATGACCCAAGTACTTGGGACTCTGCCACCCATGTAGGAGACCTGGATGGAGTTCTAGGCCCCTGAATTCAGCCTGGTCCAGCTCTGGCTGTTGTGGGCATGTGGGAAATGAACCAGCAGATGGAAGATCTCTCTCTTTCTTTGTCACTCTGCCTTTCAAATAAATAAATTATATTAAAATAAATGGATAAATAATCTGACTAGACATTTCTCAAAAGAAGAAATAACAAAGGGCCAATAAGTACAAGTATATGAAAAAAGGCTCAATATCACTAGCCATCAGGGAAATGCAAATCAAAACCAAAATGAGACATCATCTTACCCCAGTCACAATGGCTGGTATCAAAAGACAAAAATTCTGGTGAGGCTGTGCAGAAAAGAGAATTCTTGTACACTATTGGTGGGAATGTGAAGTAGTACAGCCATTATGGAGAACACTATGAAGGTTCCTCAAAAAATTAGAAATATAACCCAGCCATCCTACTTCTAGGTATATATGCAAGGAAAATGAAATTAGCATAGCAAAAAAATACTTTCACTTTCTTGCTTATAGCTACACTATTCATAGTGGCTAATATATTAAATCAACCCAGGTGTTCATCTGTGGATGAATGACTAAAGCATATTTTTTATACATACACAATGGAATATTATTTGGCCATAAATAATTAAATGCCATCATTTGTGGCAAAATGGATGAAACTGGGGAACCGTGTGTGTGTGTGTGTGTGTGTGTGTGTGTGTGTGTGTCTTGAGATTTAAAAAGCAAGGAACTTTATGTTAAGGGAAATCAGCCAGGCACAAAAAGGCAAAAACAATTTTCTCTCTTATATGTGGAAGTTTTATTTTAGATATATGTATTTGAAAGGTAGAGTTACACAGAGAGAGGGAGAGAGAGAGAGAGAGAAAAAAAAATCTTCCACCCACTGGTTCACTTTCCAAATGGCTCCAACAGCCAGGGCTGGGCCAGGCTGAAGCCAGGAGCCAGGAGCTTCTTCCAGGTCTCCCACGTGGGTGCAGGGGCCCAAGGACTTGGGACATCTTTCACTCTTTGGCAGGTGCATTAGCAGGGAGCTGGATCAGACTTGAACCAGCACCCATAGGGGATGCTGGGATTGCAGGCGGCGGCTTCACCCTTTACTTCACAATGCCAGCCCCTATGTGGAAGTTTTTCAACGTTGATCTCAAAGTAGAAGAGAAGAGTGATTTTTCAAGGCTAGGGGTGAGGTGGGATAGCCAGAAGTTGGAGAATAGGGATCAAAATACAATTAGGAGGAATCAACTCTTGTGTTCTAGAACACAGTAAGAGTTCCTAGAGTTTACAATGACCTGGCACATACAAGAGTACTTCAAAAAGTTTATAGAACATGAAATTAAATGATAAGTTTATTTTGGTGCAAAAAATTTGAAATCTGTAGTTTTATGTTACTATGCATTTTCTATGGCTTTTGAAAATACATTCATATTTTAGAAGAATGGGAATAGAGGAGTTTGCAGTCTACCAACATCAAGAAATAAGGAGATGGATATTCTAATTACCCTGATTTGACTATTACTCGTTTTACACATGCAGTGAAATAGCAAATGGTACCTAATGATTATGTACAATTATGGGTTAACCAAAACGTTTGTAAAAAATCAGGAGTTGGGCTGTGTTTAGTTTGTTGTTGCTATGGGCACCAAAAATTTCCAATTCTTCTGGCATCCCTTGTTTTTCTCTCGCTGCTTGTCTTCGAATCTTCCCTTAGTGTTGCTACCTAGAGACAATCTGTCACTCGAAAGTCTCCCAGCTGTGCCCCAATTACTTTTGCTTGTTAGGGTGGTGGTGGGGGGTTGTTTGTGAGAGTCATCTCTGATGTTTTAATGGAGGAATCTTTGGCAGGTGCTATGGACCTGTATGTATGTGTGTGTGTGTGTGTGTGTGTGTGTGTGTGTGTGTGTGGAGAGGGTAAACGCGGGTTAGAAATTGACTTTTACCCTGCTCCTTTCCCCAGGGGTACTAAAATGTCACCAGTGCCCTCGGGGTGTAGATTTAGATTCATTTTCCCCAGCAGATTAAGCCTCCTGTTTTATAAGAAATGAAAGTATTTGGATGGATTTTACCGTGGTTTATTCTCTTCCCTCCCCCTGGTGAACACCATGGAAAGGGGGAACTTTCTTTAGACTCTGCCACTGGAAGAACCTTGTCGGGTTCCTGGAGGAAAAGCCTGCAAAAGGGTGCAACCAGCGACGTCTGCAGTCCTCAGGAACGTCACACACTCAAACTAATCTGC